CTTTTTCAATTTTCAGTTTTTAAAGATGTTTTTGAAAATAACTATGAAATCAGTTAACAAATCAGCCATGCAGTGTGATGAAAGAAGCTCTCTGATTGGTTAGAGTAACACAAACATGCACTGGTGCTAGCATTAGCTGTTTTAGCACATTAGCTTAAGAGGTTCAATGTTGCACTGAGTGTGAATGCTGGAGCTAAAAGTTCTTTAAACGAGCACACACACCTGTTAGTGATGCTAAAGCAGAGCTAATGGTTCAAACAGGAGCTTAGAAAAAAATCCAGGTCAGTCTCCAAAGTAAATTTAAAAATTAATTCCTACATGTATTTACTAATCTGTATTTTATTGTACAATTAAACACCAAATCAAGAAAGCTTTATGTCAATGTGTGTGAATCTCACAGCCAAAAGTCCTCAATTTAAAAAGACCAGAGCACATTTGTGCGTTTGGAACAAACTGTTACAAATAAAACAAAAACTAAATGTTGTTTGTTAAGTTTAACAATGACCTGTGAATCAGTGAAGCTTAAAAAGGCACCACGATGAACCAGTGTGGTCACTACACAACACAACTAATACATTTGACAGTATGGGCACTTTGTTCCAACTGACCTGCTGCAAAAACACACTGTTCCCATTTATTTAGCTGAAGCTACAATAGATCTGGCACCAGGCTTCTGTTATAACCTTTAATGTGGCCAAACTTCACTACAGGCAGTATTCTGGTAGTATTAGTGAGACAGGACAGGAACATTTCTTAAACAGATGAGCAGATACCAGGATCATGAGCATGAAGCCTGCAGATTTCAGCAGGAGTAAAGTAACTGAGGTGAGCAGTTATACATGTTACACACTTCAAATTATTTTAAACAACCGTGTGTGTGTGTGTTTGTGTGTGCATTCAAAGAGCGCTCTCACCGAGTACCAGCAGCACGAACAACAGCAGCATCTCCTTCTCTGGGAAAAACCTTTAGTTAGAAATCACAGTGGTGTTCGCTGCACTGCAGGCATTGGTGCACGACGAAAAGTTCCCTGATAAGAAGACCCTCCTGAGTTCCTTCAAAATAAAGTCCTTTACAGAAAAGGACTTTCAACATTAAACTCAGAGGAGAAGCGTTACAGCATGTCTCACACAGACTACTGACAACTTTTAACAACATGTGGATTTATATAAGGTTTGAAAGGGAGGACGTCAGTTTTAGTCTCTCTATGTTGAAGTTCTGCAAAACTGACAATAAGTTTTGAACCTATGAAAAATGTTTTTATAGCTTTAAAAATAAAATTCAACTCTTCAAGCTCATGACTTTGTTTTTTTGAGTTTTCCTCTTTCACTCCTGCAGCAGTTCTTATGTGTTGAAAAAAACACACAAATTAATAATGATTAAAGAATTAAGTATTATAAGTATTAAGAAAATGTTTGTAATAATTTTTAAAAGGTAATGAACTTGTGCCATGTTGGAGATGTCCGCCGATCACTCTGCAGTCCTTCACATGTTTTACAGAGGGAGGAGGACATGTTTCTGTTACAAAATATTTTCCACTAACTTCATTTAATTGTCTCCTCTGTCGCAGAGGATGACTGGAGGCTCATGGAAAGTTGAGAACAGACAGAAAACATGTCCTCCACACTCTGGAAACATGGGCCTACAGAGCCGATGGACGGAGTGTGAAAACGATCTAAAATGAGTTTACGTTTGAGGTTAAACACACATGTGGACTATAAACAGCCCGTGCATGAAGGTAACAGTCAGGGTGTACACCTCACCCCTGGCGTCGTTGCCCACCTCTCAATTTTAAATACA